GCCGCTGCCCGGGGCCGCGGAAAGCTGGGGCCGGCCGCGAGCCTTGGCGGGCTGAAGCGCCCGAAGAAATGAGCGTTAACGGAAACCACGCAGGATTTTGAAATCCTGCCCGGGTGCCAGCATGGGTGGCGGTTGTGGCACTTCCCGAGCCAGCCACTGCCAAAAATGTGCAGTGATCACGCTGTAAAAYGCCCCAAATACACCTCACTAACCGAGAAATCCCAACATGTTGCTCCAGAAGGAATTTCTAACCCCTCAAGATCTTGAAAATACAGAATTTAGGTCCAGGCTGTAATAATTTCAGTCCGTTTCCATTGTCCCCCAGGCTACCAGGTGACCGGCGTCTTCATGAAGAACTGGGACCCCCTGGACGAGCAGGGCGCTTGCGCCATCGACCGCGATTGCGACGATGCCTACCGCGTGTGCCAGCAGCTGGACATTCCTTTCCATCAGGTGTCCTACGTGAAGGAATACTGGAACGAAGTGTTCAGGTAGGCACGGCCTTCCGTGCGTGGTCCTTGGGCGTGCTGCTGTAACGTTACTGGGAAGACGGACTGAGAGTGGGAAAGGGAATTTCCTGCGGCATTAACAGTGCCAAAGGAAAGAGGTAAACCCTCTTAAATACAGAAGGAACTCCTTTTTTGGCCCTTTATATTTAAAATCAGAATCTCTAGGCTGGTTTTAATATAATGTTTTTGAAATTAATAGATTTCTCCATAGTTAGGCCTGTAGGTGTCTACTAATTAGTTTTTTGGTCATTGGTCGCCCTGCTCATTTCTTCTGCATCTCACAAGCTGGCCCAGTCTTTCTGCAGTGTGTGGAAAAGAGTACTTCAAAAAAGTCTTCAAATGGCAGATACAATCAAGGGAATTATCCTAGATCTCCTCTTTTCCGCCACCYGTACAAATTCTGCTTGAAAATGTTGCTTAAAAACGATCGAGTCGACAGCCCTCGTTTCTCTTTTTTCCTATTCTCTTTCCCTTGGCAATGTGCTTGCAGTGGCTCTCTCTTGTTAGGTCTCGCCCTTGCTCAGTGGTGACATTTGTATTGGCTTAAGAGTGCAGTGCGGAATCAGGGAGAGCTGGACAGCACAAGGTAGACACGGGGGAATTGATTATTAGCTTAGTTTTTTGAATTCTAAACTGAATAAAAGTGGATAACCTAAAGGAAAAGCTGTACTGCTTTATTTACATTTATGAATGTGAAATATGATGTGGCAAGCAATACACAACTGATTCTGTTTCAAATGATGAAGAATTGGAGATGTCCTTATAAATATGGTTTACGATGTCTTCCTAGTCTATGCCCTCAGTAGCTCTTGGCTCAAATGGTCCCCAGAGGCAGCCAAAACACAAGTCATGAGGCCTTTTGATACCCCAGGTGTCAAAATACCCGATACTTTAATTTTATAAGTTATCATTTAAGCATTTTTAAGCAAATAGTGATAAGCACTGTAGTTGTATGAAAGTGAAAATTCTTTGTGTTTGTGAAACTGTACTTAAAAGTATTTGTTTATTATTTAAGAGAGAAAAACAAGCAGGAAAAAATCATCAACCCTTCAATCCTAAAGTTAAGGCAGGATCCTGTAGCTTATGGTGGAATTAGTGCAGAATGGGCTATAGTTCTGTCCTCTGAGACCAGTAAATCTTGGTGTGTGCTCCACTACGCTGCTGCAGTGCAAAATTAAGCAGGTTTGTTCAATTCTCAAAGAATTTCAAGAAATAAATGGCAATTACCTACTTGGTTGCCATGTCTCCATTGAGAGAATGGTGATTTAATAAGTTTACAAAATTATAGGTGATTATGTGGCCATGCGCTCAATCCATTTTGGAGAAAATCTCCCAAACATTGTTTTGTGGGTTAGAATTTGTTGGCTATTTTATTTTTTACTTAAAATGCATAGTGAGATTGGGTGTCAAATTTTCCTGGTCAGCAAATGCTTCAATCTTATTTAGTATTTTGTGACATAAATGATGTTTGCATACACTTGAATTTTTGTCTTACAGTGACCTCTTAAAAGAATATGAATTGGGAAGGACTCCTAATCCTGATATTGTGTGTAACAAGCACATCAAATTCAACTACTTTCTTCACTACGCCATGGATAACCTTGGTAAGGTTTGTGCCAGGGTGTCAGTGCACAGTGGAAATGTTTAAAGGAAACTAACCCTTGAAAAGGTGGGAAAAAAAACCATAAATTGATATGCATGCATAATGTGGTCGTCTCTGTGACAATATTTTATTAATTCTAAATTATTTTGTTTTGAATTTGCTTTTCAATTATGTAGGAACAGATTTAATTCAGAGAAATATATTAAGCTGAGTATTGAGGGTGTTTTTTCATTAGTTAAATAGCAGGAGTGTGTTTACTGTCAGTATTAGGCTTCTCAGTTCTTATTAGGTTCTCTTTGTTATTTTCCTTTTTCTGCTCTCCTCTCTGCTTTTTGTCCTAGACATTTTTATAATCTTTTTTTTCCTTTTAACTCAGATATCAAACATGTGCCTTCATGATGTTTTCCTTGTTGATTTTTGCTAGGAGCAGATGCAATTGCTACTGGGCATTACGCTAGAACCTCACTAGAGGAGGAGGAAGTTTTTCAACAGAAACACATTAAAAGGCCACAGGGGCTTTTCAGAAACCGTTTTGAAGTTAGAAACAGTAAGTGGATTCTTATTTCGTATCTTGTGCTAGATAGGAAGGAGAAATTTAAACGATATTCAGCTGTACAAAATCAGGACAGTTCATTACGTTACGTGCAACTACTGGAAAGGCAATTTCCATTTTGACCGTGGCCTTTGTAGAAGGMTGACTGGACAGAAAAGGGAAGTTACCTTACTGAAGATTACACTAAATAGCGTGGTATTAGATTTTCTATTTTAAGAATCTAGTCYTGTTAAAACTACATTCTGATCAATTTTAATATAGTTTAGGAGACAGCAGTCTCCTATACTGTGGGGAAATATTTCAAGACATCTGATTTGAGTACTTGAATGACCTAAATAAAACTTTTTAATATGTTTCTGCAGTTTTAAGGCCTGTCTGTTCTTTAACTATTTATTATATTTTATATTTAGAACTCATCACAGCAATACGCTGAAGTAGAATTTGGGAATTAAGGTCTTGAAAGGTTAAAATCATTAACATACTGTTAGTCATTGGACCATGTATTACTTTACCACAAAAACCAGATATCCCAGAATATTATTGTGTCCTCAATTACAGTTTTTCTGTAGAAAGCCTCATTTTTTTCAGTCTCATTTTTTTCTCTAGAAGACTGATTATCTGAGGCAAATGAAAGTTCTGCCCACCCTGGCACTGCAAGGTGCAAGGGCACCCAAAGGCAAGAAACTTAGCCCTTTGCAAAGCTACCGTGGTGGCTTCTCTGGATTTTGCTTCCTGGTTTTATTTGTGGGGTTTGTTTGTTTGTTTGTTTCTTGTCTGGATTTAAAGGGGTTTRTTGGTTTCTTCGTTATATGTCTTACTTCTGAAGAGTTGAAATGGCCCCAGTGGGGAGCACAAGGGCAGTAGTCTGCACTTGTGACAGATTGTGATTCACACTTGCAATATTTTATAATACTCTAAGCAGGCTTCYTGTCCTGTGTTTGAGAATGGATATGATGAGAAATGACTAACTATTGGCTCGTAATTTGTGCTCATTTAAGCCAGGAAACACCTCAGTGTAGTTTGTGCAATATAGAGCTATTAGCTCTTAAGAGAAAGGACAGAACATGACTGAAAATCTATATATATATATATATGTTTTAATTTGAGCTATCAGGAGACTTCATCTGTAATTCACTTACTTGAGGTTACAGAGCAAAATTCATTTTTTTTTTTTTAAACAGTGAAGTTTAGGATATTTGAATGTTTTTTCTTTCCTGACCTATGAAAGATGTCTTTATATTTCATTTTGTTGATATTTTTGCAGTGAAATGTGCAGTAATGTAAGATGAGATGATGTAAGATGCTGCACTGTGTAAAATCAGAATCTTTCTAGATCTCTTTAGTACTGCAAAAATAGCAAACTTTTAAAATTATATTGTGAGTACTCTGAATAATACTGTGTCTTTAAACTGTGTATGGAAGCAATAAAACAGAAGTTTTGATTGTCAAACAAAATACTAAAGGAAGTTGAACCATGAAAGGGGTTTATGTTGAAACATTTTATGTGTTCTGCACTTTGCAGCTGTAAAACTCCTTCAAGGAGCTGACCTCTTTAAAGACCAGACCTTCTTCCTAAGTCAGATCTCACAGGATGCTTTGAGGAAAACCATTTTTCCTTTAGGGGATTTAACAAAAAGCTTTGTAAAGAAGATAGCGGCGGAACATGGGCTTCATCATGTGCTAAAGAAAAAAGAGGCATGGTAACACTTACAACTATTGATTTGTATTTTCCTCTAACATGGATTTTTCTGAACTTTGTGACAAATCAGCTGTTTTGAAGCATCATAATAGAATAAACAGGATTGGGAGTTAGTTTTATAGTTGTCTGCCTGTTTAAAGCTACTTTTATGAGCGTGGTTGGTTCTGTATTTTAGTTTGCAGATGGTTGTCTGCATTTGTATTACAATTATAAAAAAATAGGATACAGACAGCAGTTGTTTTGCTGATACAGTCTGGATTTATTATTGACCTCTGTAAATGGTCATCTGAAGAGGGCTAAGATGTGATTTGAAGAAAAAGGAGGACCTTTTGCTTTTGAAGTTGGGTTTTTGACTAAGTAGTTTCTATTAGTATTATACATCAGTCTGAAAGAGAGTTCTTGTTTTTAATCACCAAGGAGAATCACCATGATTTAATATGTCTATTTATTCTATTTATTCAGTCTGTTTATTGTCTGAACATGTGTTATTTCTCTTCCTTTCTGCACTTAAAGAAATCACTGAAATCAGAATTAGTTAATGTATGTTGGATCAGATTTTATGTTTTTTTATTGATTTTATGAGATAGTATAGCCTGGATATATAAGGATATATAAGCCTAGTATAGCCTGGGATATATAAGGAAAACGATCCATTCTGCACAGATAAACGATCCATTCTGCACACATTTTGACATTATTTCTCGCTCTCTTTTTTCTTTCTTTCTTTTTTTTTTTTCTTTTGTATGGATTCAATACTGTATTTCATTTTCAGAGTACTGGAATCTGTTTCATTGGCGAAAGAAATATTGAAAAATTCCTTCTTGAGGTGAGTAACACTAAACAGAAGACCATCTGTGTGCTCTATTCTAGTTTTCCCAAGTAATTTATACTATGGTCTAAGGAATCTCCAACGCCGTATGTCCCAKTCTAAATAGTAATATACTCCCCTCTCCTACTTCTGTGTCTAAATGCAGCACTGGGAAAGAGCTGATTAGCAGCATGGATGGAGTTTGCTTGTTGAAAAGCTGTTTTCTCACTTCAGGACAATGTAGTATCAGATCCTGAAATATTGAAATATACAGTGAGTTTCTTTTGAGGCCATCTTGTGTCTTACAACAAACTCGTTTCATTTTACAGTACTTAGAACCTCAGCCAGGTAATTTTGTTTCTATTGAAGATAAGAAGGTGATGGGAACACACAATGGTAAGTGGCTAACATATATATGTGTATATACACACACACACATGTATATGTACGTGTATATGTATGTGTGTGTGTAGTACTAAATTCCCATCCCAGGTAATGTGTCTAACTGTGATGTTCTGCTAGTGCAGGAAATGGTAAGGGAACCTAGTAAGACTGAATGGTCGCAAAACCACAAATTGAAACTGAAATAGAGAAATGTTTGTCTTTTATAACGCCCAAAATACACTAATTGATGCAGATTAGAGTTATTTTTCAAATACAACTGATTTTTTTCGAAGTAGATCTTAATTTCGTTTTTAATTCGTGCACTTCTCTAGGGCAATTGGGGTCATTATTCTTTGTTTAGCAATTAAGTTTGGGATTTTTTTTTTTGAATACATTTTTTCTGAACATTAAGAAGAATTGTTGTTGTTAAGAATTGAATTTTTATATTTCTTTAGGTTGGTTCCTGTACACAATAGGCCAGAGGGCCAGACTAGCAGGCCTGAAGGATGCTTGGTTCGTTGTAGATAAAGATGTTAGCACTGGAGATATCTTTGTGGTGAGTTAATTAACACTGGCATTATGAGTGACTGATTCATGACTCCTGCTGTATGGAATGTGATTTTAACTTGGCTGGAATTCTTGGCTTTCCATTTAAGAGAAACAAGAGCCAACTAGTGCAGCATCTTGAAACGTCTTGTCCAAACTGGCTTTTGATGAGTAGAGAGTTGCTCRAAATTTTGGCTCAGAGCTTTTTCCAGACAAGCAGTGGGAAGAACCAACCAATCTCCTGAGCTCTCATTTTCTGCTCTAAAACACAGRGCTTTTCTTGTAGCTATCACGACACAATATATTAAACCTTTGCTCAAATGTGTTTTATCTTGACTTCCTATGTTTTGCTRATTTCTTTTTTTTTAATAAATAAACTAGTGGCCAGCAGTACAGCTTAAGCATTTTGAAAGTCAAGGCAGACTGTTCTACTGCAAATAGTGTCTTAATGACTGACCATAAATGTTGAGGGGAGCTCTGCAGCCTGTGAACGTCCCRAATGTTTCGTGCTGTTCACACGCTTGGTGCCTTTATTTGACATGATGGAAATGAGGAATTTTGTTACTGCTTCTGTGCCTTGGGGGAAAAACTGGCAATCACAACAGAGTTGAGAGGAAACAGACAGGACCACTAGGATTTATTTTTATGCCCTACAGTGAAATTGTGCAGCATGTCCGTAACAAATGGGCAACTATTTTTATATGAAGTGTAGTTTCATTCATAACATGAGATTTACCCATTATACATTAATAGAGATCTTGTCACTGCTTTTCCTATTGCAAGAAACAACCTGCAGGTTGTAAATTCTGCTGCTTTTCTAAGCCACAGTTCAAAAACCTGCTCTTAATTTTAGGTTGAATTTTCATCAGATGTTGCTAAGAAATATGCTGAAATTCTGAACATCATCAAATAATGTTTCATTGTCAGCAGAGCATAAATTATAAATATTGGGGAATTTTTGGCAGGTGAAAGTGCTTCTTTATCATATTGCACCACTAGAAATACACTTGTTGCTTCTAGAACAAGGGCAGAAGCACAGTACAAATCTGTGTGAGCCTTTTGGTTTAGCATTGGGTATGGTCACCAATGAAATAGCATGAGTAGGACGTCAGTGGATGAGAACAGGCTCTGTAGCAGCAACTCACGGGCACATTCAAAAATAACTTGCATCTCTTGCTGTCTCATTTGGTCTTGTTTGTCTTAATGGCTACAAAGATGAAATAATTTTTAATACAAATCTGAGTAAGAGGGAGGTGTCATCTTGTTGAGTTAGGATAAGATGGCAGTGGACACAGCCTGAGAAAAGGCAGAATGTCTTGGAGAAGGAGAACACAGGGAATGGCCTGACTCTTGAGATGTAGAAGGCTGAAAAATAATCCAGACTTGCTTTAACATATTTTTCATTAAAGGCCTTCATCAGAAAGATAATTAGATGCTAATAAATGCTTSCCCTCATTCATTTTGTTATGGCTTGATGCTCTTTTTCTGTATTTCATGCTTTACTTCACAGTGGTTGKGAGATGTCTGGCAAAAGCATCAGCATTAAACGAATGTTGTGTTTTAAGGCACCATCCACAGATCACCCTGCGCTCTACAGGGACCTGCTGCGGACAAACCGAGTGCACTGGATAGCGGAGGAGCCTCCTGCGGAGCTCGTTAGGGATAAAATGATGGAATGTCATTTCAGATGTCGGCACCAGATGGCACTGGGTAACCAAATCTCGTGGGGTTTTTTAATTTTATGTTATTCTGCAAGTGAAAGTATCTTCAGTGTAGTTCTTCAGAAAGAGTTGAAATGTTTGGGATCACCTCTCCGTTTCTCTAGTGTCTGTATGAAATGTTTCTGTTCAGTAGCATTTTGCCTTAAATCTGCGTAGCCTGTTAATGAAGGTCTTTTTAATGTGAACGTGAGGATTAACTGGCAGATGTTTGGGCACGTTCTGTTCTAGTGCCTTGTGTGCTGACTCTAAACCAAGATGGGAGCGTGTGGGTCACTCTAGTGAAGCCAGAAAGAGCCCTCACACCAGGGCAGGTAAGTCAGTAGAACTGCTTTCCTTTTTTTTTTTTTTTTCATGTTTTTGCTTAGCTGAATAATAAAACAGAGCATATTAGCTGCAAAATATGATTAGTTAATCTATTAGATTAGRTCACCTGTGAGAGCAGGTAGCTCTGTTTTGATTTTTTCATCCACTGTATTGCAAGATTGTTCCTAGTTTCAGATACTCTGTTGTTATCCGTATATGGAGAGAACTGGCTTCCAAACTTGAAAAATACTTWAAAAAGTCTCTAGGAATCATTGCACAGAAATGGAATCTGTCATAGTTCTCCAGAAGTAGATTAATGAAGGTATTAGTTCAGTAATTGGCTGCTTCATATGATTTTAATGTTCAAATTAAGCTGTGCACCCAACAGATGGTTCTGTCCCAGAGCAGCAGTGAGAGGGGACGCTGTGTAGTGCTGCCTTTCCCCATGTGAGTGCTCCCTCACACTGCGCCCCAGCGTTTCTGAGTGTTTCCTGCCATCACCCTCTGCCCACAAACATCCCTCSCTTCTCCTGCTCCCCCCAAATCTGGGCTCCAGCAAGAGGTAAGTGGTCCCGGAGCTGAAAGGAGCCCTCCGTGTGCTTCTCCCCCAGTTTGCCGTGTTCTACAAGGGCGACGAGTGCCTGGGCAGTGGGAAGATCCTCAGGCTGGGCCCGTCCGTGTTCACCTGGACACAGGGCAAGAAACGAGAGGAGGCCGCCAAGAAGGAAGAGCTGGACAAGACAGAGCCAGCAAGGTAGCATGTGGGTTTGTTTCCTCATGGACTTTGGAGGATTTGTTGCCTGAGAATAATAAAAGCAAGAGCAAACAGCTTCCTTGTTGAGCTCTAATATTGAAAAAGGTCAGTTGAGTCTCCAGTTCCTCCTCTTGCCTGTTGGCACAAAACAGGTTTGAAATGAAAAACAGTTTGGTGTAACCTCACTGAAGTGGATGGTGATAGTAGGATTAGTAAGTGCCAAGGGGGTGCCTTAAACTAGCTCTGTAATGATAGTCATCCATACWAGAGTTTTAGCTTAACACAATCATGTCTGAGAACATAAACCTCTGAGGTATAAGTGAAATAACAGTTTTTCATACTTGAAGATGCTGGTCTGTAAGTATAAGGGTTGTTTATAGTAAACATGTTCATTGAACTCTGGAGAGGAATGAGTGATATCCAGTTCATTTTGCATGAACGCTAAGCAACAGATACTTACTTTTTACTTTATATAATTTTATAAAAGCTGTTTTCAATTCTTAAACTGGATGCAGTTGTGTTTTAAGATATTTAAAATAATTAAGAAGTACAAATCTATGGATTTAAAAGAGACTCAATATTTCTTAAGTTCTTCACAGAACTGATTAACTTCTTATTAGCTGCTCAGGGTAAATACTGTCGATTTTGTCCCTTGGAGAAGAGAGTGCATTGTCCGTGCTTTAGAAAAATAAATTCACCCGTGCTTCCTTTTTATAAAATTAACTGAATTAACTAGAAAATAATTGGATCTTAGGTCATACCATGAGGTAAAAGGGGGCAGTAGCAGGAAGAACTGATCCTCCTGTCCAAATTACCTCCCAAATTAAAATGACTGAGTGTGTGTTGAGGATGTTCTAARATTATTATAAACATTAAATATCGAGAGTTAACAAAAAATAAACCCCATAGTTTGACATGATCATAGAAAGGAAGTCATTAAAGTAGAGATGCATAGAGAAAAGACATTTCAAATGATGTAAAATTTTGGAATTTCTGTCACATTTGCTCAGTAAGAGAGTTGTGACATGATTAGAGCTTTTGTGCAAATACAAAGGCTTAGACTGCATGTAGTCTTCTGTCTTTTTCTTTTGTCCTACTGTATTTATGGGAAGGAAGGAAAAGAATTCCCTTTGTTCCTTATTGTAATGACAACAGAAATAGTGTCTTTACTCCAAAGTGTGGGAGTAGAAGGAAGGACAAGTCTCAGTGTCTGCCTGCCACTGTCTTGCTTTGTTAAACACACTGGTCACAGATGCCCATTAAAAAAAGAAGAAGAAGAAAAAAGCCTGTTTTAATCTTTGCTTCTAATTTGACATTTCAGTGTAGCTGACTGARAGCGGGGGAAAAACATCCTTTTCCGGGGGTGCCAAGATAAAATCCATGTCGGAGTCTGTCTGTAGGGTGTCAGTCGATGTGGAGATCAGCTGTAAAGACTGTTCGTGGTTCATCTTGGGGCTTAATTTCTGTTAGGTTAGTAATGTTATAGGTCTGAGTCTTTTTAATGTCTTTTTTTTCTCCCCATCACTTTTCTTTCCTGAAATTTTTGAATTTTTGTCTTTGCAAAACATGGAATTTAAGAGTTAATAGTCCATTTTTCCCTCATCTGTATTTTCCAGTAAATGTCCCAATAAAATCTTAACAAAAGTTTTGTGTGACACTAGTGTAATTGTTATTATTACTTCATCTCACATCTCCTTCAGTCAGGTTTGTGTTCAGTACTGTACCAGTAGAGGGTTGGTGAAGCTATGGACAACCAAAAAGACATTGCTGCATCCGTTTAAAACTCCCTTCCTTAAAATTTCCATAGTCTCAGGGAATTGCTGGGGTTGGAAGGGACCTCTGGAGCTTGTTAGTGCAACCCCCAGCTCAGACGGGGACGGTTGGAGCTGGGCTGCGTCCAGCCAGGGTTTGAATGTCCGAGGTTGGAGCCTGCAGACCTGCACCAGCGGGTTCCTCCTGAGCCTTCTCCTCTGGAACGGGCCCGGCTCCCGCGGCCTCTCCCCACGTGAGAGACCCTCCAGGCCTTCATTTACCTTCCAGGCCCTTTGCTGGAGTCACTCCCACGTGTCCACGTTTCTCTTGTGCCGGGGAGCTGGGCGTTGGACGCAGAGCCCCACGAGTGGCCCCTGCAGGGCTGAGCAAAGGGCAGGAGCAGCTGCCCTGGCCTGGGGTGAGGCCCAGCGTGAGGCCGCCCGGGGGCTGCCTGCCCTGTCCCTGTGTGCTCTGTGCCCTCGTCCCAGACGCTAAGGGAGGTGCTAAAGCAGTAGTGGCCCCAGGGTCAACCCGGGATGGGGGACACCGCTAGTGACTGGTCTCTGCCTGGGCTTCTTGCTGTTGGTTGCCACCATTCCATCATGGCAGCTGAGCCAGTTTTCCTAAGCCACCCACTTACCTAGTCTGTACTTGACCAGACTGTGAATGAYGATATTAGGGCAGCATCAAAAGTCTTGTGAGAGTCAGGATAATCAGCCACTGCTCTCACTTTATCCGCTGATCCAGTCATTTCATCATAGAAGGCTTAGCAGGTTTGTGAGGCTTGATTGCCCCCTCATAAATTTGTGCTGGTGACTCCTGGTGGCTTTCTTGTCACTAATACATTTGGAAATGGCTTCCAGGGTTAGCTGCTAGATACGTTGCTGAAGATGGATTTGTCCTGCTCCGTCTACTGGATGCTATTTCTTCCCAGCAGTCCTCATTTTTCACATGGGGTCTTACAGTCATAAAAGCCACATCCCTGTTGTGAGCATCCCGACATCRGGAAGAGCAGGTCAGCTCAGCGGATGGAGGCCACTGCCACCACCGCAGGGAGGTCTCCCTACTGCCACTCGCCATGTCCTGGCTCCAGCTCAGCCAGCACAGGAGCTTCATTGGAGAGAGCCCCCAGCCCCTCCTCATCTCCCTCCAGGACACTGCTCCTGCTCTGCATCTCCAGGTCTGCAGGGGAAACGGGGGCTGTTCTGGTGCCAGAAGTCACCTGCTCCCAGCCTTTACCRTCACAAGGTGAAGCCACCTTCTCTCCTTCCCTCCAACCTGACAGGCAGACTGTCCTGCTCCTCCTTCACTGCAGCACAGGGCTCAGGCTCTTGGAGCCACAGGGTCTCAGAGAAAACCTGGTCAAGCTCTTCCTCATAAACGCTGTTCTTGAAAGGCCACATTCTGCCAATGTGTTGTTATGGAGAAAGCCTCGCTGCTACCGTGCTGGGTCTMCCCCAGGTCTAGGTGCCTCTGGAGGGCAGGTGGCTCAGGTGGCTGTGTCCTGGTGGCAGGTGGCACCGGTGGCTGTGTCCTGGTAAACCCAGCTTCAGGAATTCTGCTGGCAAAGGCAGCCCAAGTTTGTGCACAGGTGCTGAGCCAGTGTCTCACGCCAGGAAACTTCAGCCAGGGCTCCTTGTATTTACCTGGCACAGGGAGTCTTCAGCGGGAAGAAGGCTTTGTAACTAATTCCTCTTTTTCTTTAAATATCCTTGAAAAGCCATACAGCACCAATCCAAGTTGGCTGATGTAGCAAATTTGTGAGTTATTATGTTCCTTATGTGCAGAAAATTCTCCAGCAATTCAGTTGTGAGGCCCCACGACTAGAATTTTATGACCAGAGATGCACCATGGCTGAGGCTCAGGCTTCTGCTGAARAGAAGCATCTGGCAACAGGTGAGTGGGATATTTTGGTTAGTGGAGACCTGCTCTCTGAGCAGAACAGGGAGCTGTGCTCGCCTTCAATGCAGTGGACATCTTCCATGAAACGGGCTGAGGGCTCCAGCGTGGTAAAGCTGGTATTAATCCCAGTGAATCCCATGCTACTGCTGAGAGACAGGAGCAAGCAGACATTTGTGAAATTAGCATCCTGAATAGCACCCGACCAGGGTGCTSTGCAGTAGAGTGCACGTCTGTAGCAATGTGAGTGTACATGTTCAAACAGAGCGCTTCCCAACAGCTCGCGTGCTGTTCAGGAATGGTGTGTTTTTCTTTCCATCCCACACCTTTCTCCCAGGTGACTATCTAGTAACTCTGAATGATGGTGCAAGGCTCCTTGCCCTTCTTCATGTGTCTCTTGTAAGGAGTTTTATTCTCTTCCATACAAGGATACAAGCTGTGAGGAGTGGTCTGCAGATGACCCCAGAGAGGCACGTTTCTAAATTAGAGGACATGAAATCTGSCCCTTCCCATTAGGGCATCATATAAAAGCTGGGTGACACCATCACTGTTATTGACCATGTCCAAAGAGACCATTGGTTTTCTCACTACTTTGTGCAGCTCCCGGCCAGACGATGCTGAAATGTCCATGAAAACGTAGCCAGGCAGCTGCAATATCTTGGAAACCATAAGTGAAAGAATGAGTTGCCAGTGGAGTTTAGTGCCTCGGGGCTAGAGCTCCTGAATGCTCCTGAATGGGGCGTCTGTGGGGCTGGCAGTGTCTGTCAGCAGCAGCAGAGCTCACAGGAAACCTTTGTCAGGGCTGGAATTTGGCCAGAATTTGCCTTGAATTTGATAAGAGCAGCCTGACTGGCATGTGGCATGTGAATTTTCTGTCTCCTCTCCCTGTCTTTTCTTTTTAAAACTACAAAGTCCTAAAGCGGATTAACATCTCACTGCTTTTAAAAACTGATTGCCTTTTCACTCATTTTTTCCTTTTGCTTTGGGTGGCAAAAAGCAAGAAGTTTGATTTCTCTTTCTGGTTGTCACTAAGCTATTTGGCTTCAAAGACTCACACGAATTGAAAAAACCATGGTTGGGGAAAAAAAAAAACAAGAAAAAATAATCTTTTCCTCTCTTGAGAGGGGGACATGATAACGAGTTTTGGGTTGCCTACCTGAAAAAACAAGGTTTATTTCAGCAAAAAACTGGAACCAACCTGAAATATCTTTAGCACCTTGCAAGATGGCTTAAAATCTGTGTGACTGGCTCAGTGCAGGTGAGCAGGGTTCTCTCCTCAGTGCTTTTCACCAGGGCAGCCTCTTTGGAAGGGTGAGACGTCACCCGGCTGCTGCCCGGGGCTCAGTCCGTGGTCTGTCCTGCAGGAGCTCTGCGTTCGTGGGCGGGCAGCAAAAGCGTCGGCTCCTGGTGCTCACGGCACCTCGYGGGGCTCGGAGACGCTTTCATCCTCCTGCTTAAAAATGGTGAAATGATGAGRTCCTGAGCTGCCTTGCTGCAGCTGGAAGCCAGAGAGAAAAAAGATGAAATGCTGGTTTTTTGAAAGCTCCCCACAGTCCCCTTTTTACATAGATTTGTCCTTGTTGGGATATTTATAATTATATTTATTTTATTTTTATATATATAATGTAATATTACATTTATTAAGCAAAGAATAATAATGGATCCATATTCACCACTGAGTCTGAACACAGAAAGCTGGATTAAAGCTGCCCGTTTCTCCGCCTGTCTCTGGCCGCTGTTTTCTTGAAATACATCCAGCGCGTTTGATTTCTCGGAGCGAAGCAAAGCCGACAACCCAGG